GAGGAGGGTACCTCATATCCTCTGGCCTTCACACACACACACACACACACACACACACACACACACGAACACCCACCCTGAGATGGTTCAGTCATTAAAGTTCTTGCCGTACAAGCATGAGGACCTGAGTTCAGATCTGCAGAACCCATGTAAAATGTGTACCTTTAATCCCAGCACTAGGGAACCAGAGACAGGCATTTCCCTAGCCTATCCAACCAACTTATGTTGGAAAGTTGAAAGTTGCATTAATGAACTTCAGATTCAGGGAGAGATCTTGTCTCAAAAAAAAAAAAAAATAAAGTTGGACTAGGAGTCAGAAACCAATCTGGAACTGACCTGAAAACTCCCTTATTGCTGACTGACTGGCTTTCATAGGACCAGAAAATACTGTCGCAGTCCACTGGGGGAAGAAAAATCTACCAATGGTATTACCTAGTAGTGAACCCTGCATGCTACAATACTAACTAGACAAGCAAAATGTGCCTACTAGTTAGTGTAAAAGGTTATGAAGGTGACCAACACTTTTGGGTTGGATTTGAGGGAGACCTGCTCCACAGGACAGAATTCATGCCCAGTACTGTAAACCTGGCTGAAAGTCGTAGTTTAGGAGGTCAAAGGTCATACTGTTGTCTTGTTAAGTGTACAAACTGCCTCCTAAATACTTAACGTTTATACATATAGATTATTGGTACAGTCAACTTTGGGCCAGAGAAGCTGTCTGTGCAATGGGCTGCTATTAATAATGCCAAGAGTCATAACTGGCTAAAATGCTGAGAATAAATAATTACTGAGTGCTCAGCCCTAAATGGGACATCTGTCTCACACTGTCCCTGCCCCTCAAGGCTAACGGAACATCTGGAAAGAGGGGCCAGATAGAATGTAAGAGCCAGAGGACAAGCAGAAAGAAGTGCTATGAAATGTTATCTTCTGGATTATAGCTATTATACTCATGAATTCACCTGCATATGATCAAGGAGAGAAGTCAGCACAGGGACTAGAGATGTGGCTTAGTGGTTCAGAGTACTTGTTGCTCTTCAGGGGCACTGGGTTCAATTCTCAGCACCCATAAGATAGCTCACAACCACCTTTAACTCCCAGACACTCACTTGGAGCACATTCATACACATAAACTGAACTAAAAAGGGAAGAAAGAGACGGGCGTTGGTGGGGCACGCCATTAATCCCAGCGCTAGGGAGGCAGAGGCAGGCAGATCTCTGTGGGCCAGCTTGGTCTACAGAGCAAGTTCCAGGACAGGCTCCAAAGCAATACAGAGAAACCCTGTCTCAAAAAACAAAAAACAAAAAACAAAAAACAAAACAAATAAAACAAAAAAGACAGGAGAGATGTGATATAAAGTGGGGAGGTGCTTGTAGGGAGTGGGAAGGCTGATTTGGGGGTATCTTGGTATATGATCAGGATACATTGTTTTCATGTTTGAAATTGTCAAAGAATAAAAGAGATCCTAGAGATAGCCGGGCATTGGTGGTGCATGCCTTTCTTTCTTTTTTCTTTTTTCTTTTTTTATCGAGGCAGCGTTTCTCTGTGGCTTTGGAGGCTGTCCTGGAACTAGCTCTTGTAGACCAGGCTGGTCTCGAACTCACAGAGATACTCCTGCCTCTGTCTCTGGAGTGCTGGGATGAAAGGCGTGCACCACCAACGCCAGGCTGGTGCATGCCTTTCATCCCAGCACAGGGGAAACAGAGGCAGGCAGATCTCTGTGAGTTGGAAGTCAGCCTGGTCTACAGAGTGAGTTCCAGGACAGCCAGGGCTGTTACACAGAGAAGCCCTGTCTCAAAAAACAAAACAAAACAAAGGCTATAAAAAAATAATATGAAACTGAGAAAGGTACTTGAGGTAGATTTCTGACCTTCATACATACACATGTACCTGGAAACAAGTGAACAAATATACACACAATAATCACACATACACAAATTTAAAAGTCAGATGTGGTGGTGTACTCCTGTAATCACAACACTCAGGAGGCTGAGGCAGGAGGATTGCTGCAAGTTTGAGGCCAGCCAGGGATCCAGTTTTGCTGTCTCAAAACCAAAACCAAAACCAAAGAAGACAAAACAAAATCATCTCTGTTGATGAGCATTTGGGTCATTTGTTTATTTGTTGTATAATGAAATATATTGCTGTGAATATTCTTGTACATGTTTCATTGGGATCGCATGCAATGTAATTGACAAGTTACTGTTTCATGCTTTATTTTACAATTTCCTTCAGACAACAACAATGACAACATTTGTAGCTAATGATGGCTTTGAGCATCTGTTAGTTTTCTCTAGTTTATGTCTAGGAGGGGCAACTGATGGTTGGGCCATAGGGTTCAACTAAAAAATATGAGATGGGACTGGGGTGTATCTCAGTTGGTAGAGTGCTTGCCTAGAAAACACAGAGCCCTGGATTTGTAATCCTATCATTTGGGAGGCTGGAGGATCAGGAATTCAAGCTATAAGTGAGTTCAAGGCTAGCTTGAGCTACATGAGAACCTATCTTTTTCTTGCTTTTTTTGTTTTTTTTCAAGACAGGGTTTCTCTGTGTAGTCCTGGCTGTCCTGGAACTTGCTTTGTATATGAGGCTGGCCTCAGACTCACAGAGATCCACCTGCCTCTGCCTCCTGAGTGCTAGGATTAAAGGTGTCACCACCACTGCCTGGCTAGAACCTGTCTTGGGGGGGGTGATGTAAATAACTCTTGATCCTTCTAGCTTAGGGGGCTCTGGGTGTCCATACTAGATGTCTGATCAATTCAGAGTGACCTTGGTCTTGAGGATTGGGCTGCAACCCTCATTACCAACAGCAATAAATATGCTACTCATTCAGTGGAAGGAGTCCCATCTGTGGAGGACATTAGCATCTGCTATCTTTATGGTTACTGCCTCCTATTAGTCATTGCAACAGGACAGATGATTACCGAGTTGCCCTATTCAGGCTAAAGGTCTTCCAGCTGAGCAAGGATTTGCTCACCCAGGTAGGTCAGATATAAGGGGGTGGGTGGAGACAGGCCTTGTTTGCTCTGTCGAAGGCATACAGGTCATCTGGGGATGTTCATTGTTTAAAAGTCTGAATATGAACTCTCCCTTAATGTTAGTAGGACCTGAGGCAAAAGTACAAATGGATGACTGCTGAAATTATTTAAAATTACAAACCTTTCTAATGAACTGTGAGCCTTACTGGAGTCTAGCCTTCTGCTTTGACTAATGTGCATCATGATGGTTTGAATATAGACCTTTGCAAAGACCCTTGAGCAGACTTGAATTTAGAATTCCTAGAATCAAAATAAATAAAGCAGAAAAAAAAAAAAAGAATAGGACTTGGTGGTCCAGCTCTGAAACCTGGGCTTCTCCGGAAGCTGAAGTAGGAGACTATGTTTCAAAACAAAAAATAGAACAAGAGCTATGGATATAGCTGAAATGTGGAGTGCTTGCCTACTGTGCTTAAGGTTAAATCCCCAGGACTGCAGCAGAAAAAAAAAATAAACAGAATAGCAGAGATTCCTGGACTTTGGGGGTATATGCACTTGAATAAGGTGGTGAGAGGAGCTCTGGCTACTGGCCCATGGCTTGGCTTCCTTCTCTCACCTGCCTTGCAACCATGAACGATCTGTGAACATGCACAGCAGCTCAAAAGTCTAAGTGTTATGCCACCTCCTCCAAATATAGCTGCCCTTTGGTCTACACTGTCTTAAAGAAAAAGGAGATACCAAAGCTTCGGCCGGAATTCTGGGCTCACAGGAAGGCAGGTGGACTTGGTCTTGAAGTGCCAGACTGTGTGGACTCCTTGTCCTAGAGAGGCAGCAAGGTGTGAGCAGGGCCGGAGAGGATGGAGCCTAGGGCTGGCTCTCCTGTTCAGGTATATGGGCGGCGACGGTACTTTCCGTATGTAATTTCTCCTCTCTAGTCATGAGTGCAAGCGCTGCATCTGGCTATATTTCCAGCAGCTTCCCTAGGCTGGGCACATAAAAGTCAGACATAGTGGCTTAATGGAAAGTACACTGGCTTGCACATCAGAAGACCTGGGGTCCACTCCAACTTGTGGCCATAACAAGCCTTCCTATTTTATTGCTTCATTTAAACTTTTCTTAGCTACTGTACTCATCAAAGTTGTGATATTAAGGGACTCACTCTCTCAAGGTCACACAGCTAGGCGAAGGAGCGGCTGGGCTGGCGAGAGACCACACATTATTTTTTTTTT